TGAACTTTGCTGGGAGGTGGAGTTTAAACTTAGGGGGTTCAAATGCTGCGGGTAACTCCTCTTCTTCAGGCCTTGCCCGAGACTTTCCTCCTCCAGAAGGCCCTCCTCCTGTGCTAGCCATATCTGATTCGCTACTGGATTCGGGGTCGTTTGGAGGTTCAAAGGAAGGCTTCTTTGCTGGAGTAGCAGGGAATTGTCCTGGAGGTTGTGTATCTTCCGTGTTTGCAGGATCGCCCGGCTCTTTAGCAGAGCGCCGGGGTTGTTTCCTTTTTGTAATGTCTTGCCGTGGGATTTGCTTCCCACTCCTAGTCATCAAAGACTCTATCTTGGATTTGAGATGAAGCCGAATGTGCTGTGATTCTGCCGCTTCTCTCCGCTAGCGTTCTGAGGTGGATATCGATAGGTTGATCAGGCCTAAATCCGGGGACAGGTTCTTAACCACTTGCTGAGGTTAAAAAAATGTAACGTGTTCGCAAGATGCTAATCACGTTATCGGTAAAGGTACGATAGTTAGCAGGTGGCCTGCTCTTCCGGAGAGGAGGCGAGAGCTGAAAACTAAAGGAGGCTTCGAGGGTGTACTGAGGAACAAAGAAGTAACCGCTCAACCAAGTATATTGAAATACTGTCTGTCGAAGTCTGCCTTTTCTATCGTAGAACCAGGCGGTCTTTAAATACACAAATCTGTTCATGTCTAGCATGAACGAAACTAATCAAAGGTATCAAGCGATACACTTTGGTAAAACTTCTTTAAGTATCAAAGCGATACTTAAAACAAAGCATAAAACAAAACCAAGTATCAAACGATACTTAAAACAAACCAAGTATCAAAGCGATACTTGAAACAAAACATAAAACAAAACCAAGTATCAAAGCGATACTTAAAACAAAACATAAAACAAAACCAAGTATCAAATGATACTTAAAACAAACCAAGTATCATAGCGATACTTAAAACAAAACATAAAACAAAACCAATAACCGAGTACCCGTACCGGTTATAGGACCTATCTCCCACCCATGGTGCCTTGCCCCCGCCAGCCATACCCATTATCAGACCAAAGAAACCAAACAAACTTCCACAACACCCAGCACACAGAACCCAAACAAGTCCAACCACGTAGTCGCAACCCACTATCCGCACAGGTGGCCATCAGCCCAGCGGTCCGCCGGGGAGCTTTACAGCACTTAGCAGCTTCATCCAGCAGCCCAAACCGGTCCAGAAACACTTAATTAGACATCGCCCAACCTGACACATGCCCGACCGGTGCTCACAGCTGCCTCTCCCCCCCCAATCAGCCCCCCCCATGCCCCACACACCAGACACCACAGAGCCCATCCAGCCCCCCCAGCCCCTCAGACAGATCAACCATCCGACAGCCACAGGACACCTTATACCCAGCCCCGCCAGGTAGCCATTGATCTTGGCCACACAAACATATCCACAACCCTCAGCACCGTGTAGCTGAGGGGAGCCTACCAGCCACAGCCGGGAGCCACAAAGGAGGCAGCACTAATGCCCGAAGGCACGGGCACCAGCTACACCATCCAACCCAGCCGAACCGAAATCCAACTAAGTCGGGAAAGAGTAAGCAGAGCCAGCCAAAGCCAGCCCTACACGTCCAGCAACAGGCACAGACCGAACAATGGGCAAGAGGCATCTCCAACTGATGCGACAAGAAGGAGGAGGGTGAACGAACAGAAGCAGATAAACAGAAGGTAGGCCCCACTTGCAATGGGTGAAGCCGCCAACCACAGACCACAACCGAACCACCCAGACACACAGACAGCCCGAGTGTCTGGCAGCCAATCGTCCCACACCACCCCAGGCGGCAATAATAACCACACCAGGGGGTAAGAGTTTTCAGGGTCAAAGCCATCCCCACGAATGCGAGGAGGAGATACCTGACTGAACTACCATAAATGCCACAAGGACAAAAACTCCAAGGGAACGGCGATAAACAACATAGTAGGATTCCAACCGTAGAAACATGTAGTAACGAGGAGGGGGGGGCCGGCGAGGCCCCCTACCCAAAGGATTGATGCGGCTGGTACAACGTATTGATACTTGGGAAGGTCATCAGTCTAACCCAAGGGCATTTTGTATCGTGAGAACTAAGGACTCCGTTAAAACCCAACAACAGACATGAGCTGGCCCAAAGAACGACACCGCTGATCCCCCCAAACACAATGTTCAATCCCCCCAATCGAACGTGAAACCTGCAAGTAGACGATAGACAGGAAGCCGTAGACATTTTACCGAAAGGGGCTCGTAAGCGACAGTGATGAAGTGCTCGAAGTGCCAGTATCATGAGATAACCAGCCCAACAAAACGAGACGCAAGCAAGTTATCCGCCACGCAACACCCAATAGACCTCAACACCAAAGACCCCAGGAACTACTGAGCGAACTCAGATATCTCCCCCAGAATTCAAGGCATCAAGGCCCATCATGATGGCGAAAGAAATGCTCGAGGCGAAGCGACGGCAAGGACGAGGAAAAGTACTTAGAACAAAGCGTGAAGAACCTATCCTCCTCAGCCGCATCGGCCTCCATATATAGTGTTCTTCCCGCCCGTAGTCATGTGACCCAAAGTGGTCACATGTGCGAAATCAAATCATAACAAACTAGTCATGTGACCAAGATTGTCACATGCTCAAAACCCATGACCTCATAACGAGGTCATGTGCGAAACTCATAAACCAATCATAACGCAATAACCAAGTCATATGACTCGACTGAGTCATATGCATGAAATCCATGACCTCATAATGAGGTCATATGCGAAACATAAATTATATACACCAGACATACCCACAAGGCACACTCGCAAGGCATACTCATCAGGCGCACATCCTATAACTCATATCTGAACCATATACGAAAGCATCACAAATCTCACACATAACAAATCATATGACTCCAATGAGTCATATGTGTGAAACAATAACATACCTGTGACTCATAACCATGCATCACGTGAAAACCTTTTTCATGCCAAGCCACATTTGTGACACCTCTTCAATCACTTTTACTTGTTTTCTCCTTTTTAGTTTGTTTCCATATTGGAACAAGCTTCGTATGTCCAATTGCAGAGAATGCAACAAAGAATATGATAGTGACTGGCTCTCTTATGAAAGTTGGAGCCAGATATCGTTCCTCCAAAGCAGTACTGAGTGGGCGATGAACTGTGAGACAGAGGTGTCATAGACCAATTTGGAGGTAAACCTCATTGATAAAAACATGCTCCTTCCACCAGGTGCCCAAGCAGTAGTGATAGAGGCAGGCAAATTGACATTGTCAGGAGTGATTTTTAGAACTTAACTAAGGTTTGTGATAGCAAATATGGACTCGCAGGTTTTGGCGTCGTATGTAGTTTCCTACTATACGTTTAGAGATATCAAGGTCTAAGGAACTCATAATATCGTGCAATGTTGCACAAGGGTCTCGCATATAGGTAATCTTCAGGTATCTTTCATTGCTCGAAGACAATTTTCTTGGAGCCCCAGACTGTAGTGTGAGGTCTATTTTGCAATCCTCTTACCATGAGGTCACAATCTTGTAAGCTGCGCTTTTTGAAACATCAAGTTCCTCAGCAATTTTGTGATAAAATTCGCCAGCAGCATGCCGCTCAATCATGGATATGCAATCCTTGCAATCAATCTCGCTGTTTTCTCATGCTTGGATTTTGACATCAAGTAGTTGTTACTACAATCAAGATTTCTTCCCATCGGAGGAGACCTTTCTGTGTGTCTTGCCAAGGCCTAATATCCATAAACTTTTTTCACGCAGCTGGTAATGTCTCAGTAGATGTAGTACACTTCAAATAGAACACCATGAGAATAATGATATTTCTTTGGACCAGGAAGATCAATCAAGCAAAAATCATGATAAGGAATATTAATAAATTTAAAGGCTCATAAAACTAAACACTCCTAAAAGTTGGTTGTAGTGTGGTAAGTAACTCCTTAAATCCTGATTACATTTTATATTCTCTAGGAACTATTGATTGATGCAAAAATCTGTTAAGGGGTTTGTACAATCCCTTGCAATTTTGTTTCTCATATCTAGAGAATATATTGGTCTACTATTTAATATTTTATTTCTTGTCTAGGGATGTTGTAGCCAAAAACACCATCAACTTGAGATGAGAGGAGATCTTGATAAAGGGTTTAGTTTACACCATAACACATATTTTTCTGTTGAAATGTTGCTTCGGTTGCAGCGTGCCAAAGTGCCACCTAAAATCACCTGGCACTACCCCTGCTCCGTACCATGAATTCATGATATACCCGAGTACCTCCCATCTCTGAAAGGATATACCCCTGTAACCGGCTTAATGTAGCTACCAACGGGTGTCATATGTCCCTGCGTCGAAATGAGGGTGGGATGTCAGTTTGTGCGCCAGTTAGTCAGAGATCTATTTTTACTATTGTTCATGGGCGCTTTAGCGAGGTCGGCTTGGGCAAAGTTATTGAGAAAGGGAGAGGGGTCGCCGTTGGGGTGGATCAGGATGGGCGCAAGCAGTGTTTAGTCCTGGTGATATGGAATATTAAGGGGTGGGCAGTGGGCAGCTCCAAAGGCTGGCATTAGCTATGGTGGCATCATATAAGCCTCGCAATCGAGAAACTGTGGTGATGGAATATGGAGAATGAGGTTAGCCGCAGCGCCTACAGACCCGTATGGCCGCAGTGTAAACCTTGTGGACTAATTCAGATGAACGTCACGAGACGTCACTCGGTTTATCATCCCTCTCTCTCCTTCAAGGAAGTATCATAACCAGATTCGCAGTATGCATAACTCAATGATATATCGCCCGCTAGTTTAATTCAGGGTTGTCATCTCCTATCCTCGCTCTGAACCCGGTGGACTAAATTTAGGTCTTCCCCCTCCTACTTTCATCGACCCGGGGAAGAACTCCTTCCACAGAAACAGTTACCCGGCGCCAACGTCCACCATCACTCATCCAACGATCGTTGGTGGGGCTCTCCAGAATCCACATCATGTCCTCCTCCAAAGATAAAGCTCCGCAACAACAAACCGGTAATCCCCCTTATCTCCCCGGGAAGCCTCCCCAAACTAACAATTAATTATAGTCGATCTCTCAACCCTAAGCGTCGACAACCTCGCCGCCGTAAAAAAGCAACTGGACGATGAACTCGAGCACCTAACCACCTCGTTCTCAAAACTCCACCAGGCCCAGAGCAAATTCAAAGAATGCATCGCAACGATTAAGACCGGACTCCGACCCCGTCCGTCTCCCTCTCTTTCCGCTTTCCACCCGGGAGAATTGCTGACGGGGAGGGATGACAGGCAAGACCGTTCTAGTTCCACTTACCACTTCACTGTACGTTCCGGGCACGCTCTCGGATACAGAGAACGTCCTTGTGGATGTCGGCACCGGGTACTATGTTGAGAAGAGCGCTGCCGACGCGGAAAAGTTCTATGCTGAGAAGGTGAAAACGCTTACGGAGAATCTGGGTGAGTTGGAGAAGATTATTGCTCAGAAGAGGCAGAATGTGCAGGTTGTTGAGAATGGTGAGTGGTTTACTCGAGCGGCGATTGCCGGGCGGTCCGAGGTGCTGACTTGAGCATCAGTTTTCAGGCAGAAGGTTATGGCAGGTGGTGCTGGTGCTTCCTCGTAGGAGGTGGTTTCTTGTGGATCGGACGAGCTGGATACCGGTCGCCTTAAACTTGGCTGGGGTGTATATATAAAAGCGTTCGCACATCGGGTCTCAAATCGATGGAAATTCCCAACAAACTTTGCCTATATTATGCAGTGATGGACACAAGTTAGCTCGGAACTCGATGGTGAGATATCGGCATGCGTTAGATTTGGGCCTTGCGTAGCGCTATCGCTTTTCCATCCCTCTATGCGCAGGTATCCTCCTTGATTCCATCACATAATTCTTAGCGGAATGGTGAACCCTGAGCACTGTACAACTTGAGGGGCGGTTTCTCCCATCGGCACCTGCGAGGGTCGTTGCTATCATTATAACACCCACCCCTGGACCGAAATATTCGCCTACATATTAGGGTTAGGGCCGAAACCTTGGTTAAAACAGTTTACAATTAACGTCCAGACCTTTAGCATGCTTTACCCGAGTACCGTAGTTTAAATTTCCTCTCCCATAATTTCACTGCCTTTGCCATTTTAACGCAATAGCGGAGAAGAAAGCCTCTACGAGGTCTTTCCCGAATTCCTTGGAAGTCACCGAAGCAAAAGAACCACTTAACTCACCGTAACTAGCGCTGTAAAAACCTATATACGTAGTTCCGACTCAGCGACCCGAGCACTGCTGTACTCTATCCCTCCACAACTGCCTATCCGCGGTCCTTCCTCTGCAACGGTAAACTATAAAATTCGGAATAGACGAAGGCGACACCACTTTTCTATCCATGTATGCGATCCCGTTCCACCCACCTAGAGGATTAGGGTATTGTGGTTGTTCAAGGGATATCATACATTGGTATCTCCCGCTATCTAATCCGGGAGTAAGAAGGATCATCCTGTATGACAAAAATAAATATGGTGACCATCGGAGGTAAAGTGGAGTAACTGAAGCCCAGGCTTCAGTTAAGTTAGCGGTAGAACGTGAGCATTAAAATACAAGTCCCCATAACAGCCTTTACACCCCCCTCACTTCTGGGACAGTAAGAAGGAATGGTGCCATGAGTCTACGAATCTAAACATAAGGAAATAAGGGTAATAAAATATTACAGAAACGAAGATTTGAGAATGAATAAGTGATGATCGACTCTGTGAAATCCACAAGAATGGGTATAATTCCTACTCCCCATTTCACAAAACCCCCAGAGCAATACTAACCCCAACCACCACCACCGCCACTGATATTCCCGTCCTCAAGGTCCCACCGCCCCTTCCCCCGGTGGCAGCACTAGCCACGTCCGGCCCCCTCCCCAGTCTAATCCCTCCATCACCCCCGCTACCAACGTTGAAAGTTACAGTCTTATTAAACGTCATTTCACTCCCTGGATCCTCACATTTCTTGTCGAAGCACGGTTTTGTCTTGTTGAACTCTCCCATGTCCAGGCCGTTTGACTGTGATGCCACTGCGGAAGCAGAAGGTGTGGCAAGAGTTAACTTGTAGGTTGTTGAGGGGGACGGTAGGGCGGGCGTGGAGTGCTTGGAGGAAGTTTTCGTGGAGCTGGACCGCGCTGCTGTGGGGATTGAGGTCGAAGTGGTCGTGAAGGAGTTTTTAGTGGAAAATTTTCTGGTGGTGGTGGTGTTGGTAGTGGTGTTGGTGGTGACGGGAGTTGATGTTATGGGGTGGATTGTAGCGTTACCGGTTATAGTGGAGAATGGTGTTGTTGTGGCATTAACTCCCCTTGAGGGCGAGGTTGAGGTTGTGTTGAGGGTGGTAGGTGGCATAAGAGATGATGTCGAGCTACAGTTGAAAACAGAACCCCCTTCAGTAATAGAAGTAACGACACCAATCGATTCAGTTGTAACGACGCTGGATGTTACTTTGGCCGGGGGGGTAGACGAAACCACCGTTTCCGCCGTAGCAGAGGTTGACGTGGGGGCGACGCCATAACTGGAAGAGAGCTCGTGTGTACCACCATTAGTAGGTGCTACTTTGGCCCCCGAAGTAGCAAGCGGTGTAGATAATGAAGTCAAAAGGGTAGAATCGTCAACAACAGTCACTATCGCCGTAGGCACTAAAGTCTGAATACTTGTACCCGTAACATGGACAATAGTCGAAGCAGATGTTATAAGCGCATTATTAGGCGGTGTCGAGATGTCCACAACAGCGTTATTCGGCGGGCCATGTACCGTAGCCGGTTCAACATGGGCTGGCTCAACTACCGCGGGTTCGACCGCGGCGGGCATAACCTCCGCAGGTGCTACCCCATCAACCCGTGCATGTCGCCGGTGAAAGTACTGATGATTACGACTTCCCGATACTCCCTCCGAGATTGCTGCCCCGAGAGTCAGAAAAGCGGATAGGAGTAGAGATGTCGAGAAATGCATTTGATCTTGATTTATTCAAACAGGTTTCTCCGTCTCCTTGAGTTTGACCCGATCGATTCTAGCTACGTTATGTTGAATTGTCACAGATTCATAACGGGTCAAAATAGTGGTGAAATCGAGTAAAACTGTGCGAAGGAAGTAGACGCCGGGCCTCAGTGAAATTTCTTCTTTTTTTTTCTTTTGCGAATACTAAATCACGCCTGGCGTGGAGGTGCTCAAATACGTGGAGTACGCTACGCTGGTTAGCAAAATGTCACTTCAATGCCATCAACGCTCAACATCGAGTGAAAAAGTATCAGGACCACTTACTCAGAAATCACTTGGACTCGAGAGACCGAAAGAATGGACACAGATCTATTATCTGCAGAGAGCCAAAAGAGATGTAAATCTTCAGGGGAGAAAACTACAGCACAGAACCGGGAAGGGGGGGGTAGTCATGTACCTAAGTACTTAGAGCGACCACCCAGAGCACTGCCTTATTGGCGGCACACCCGCCGGCAGCCAGATATAGCAGGTCATGGTGCCCAGCAAAACAAAAAAGAGAGCTGAGCCAATCAAACAGCAGAACTATTCCTGACGGTTGATTGTCATCGGGAAACTTTAGCCAACCAAAGGTTCCGAACCTATGATCTTAGGCTCGCGTGCCCCCCCAGTCAACCATTCGAGTACAGCAGGAGCGCGGTCCTCGTACTGCACGGTACTAGTACTGTACTCGTACCCACTGCCGGCATGTCCTTTCTGATATCTCATAGGGTTAACAACCCCGCAGCTTCCCTGTCTCTACCCCTATTGTACGCTCGAGTAGCATCGGACTGCATACGGTAAGGGTTTCTATACAATACTCGAGTAGTAATCCTTACGAGCGATCCATAACCACCTTCCAGCTACGACAAAGGATCAGGAAGGACCAGCGAATGGGATATTAGTCTCGTTCTTGCTTGTGGTGAGATGGAGTCCGGGGGAAACTAAACGAAATTCCTGCCAAGTGTTGTTGTGTGTGTCGAACCACCTCCCTCACCAGGATTCTCAAGATTCCCGTTTGCGCGCCCGTAGATTTAATCTCACCCCAAGCACTGGGGTCTGTTCTGTGTTAAATTGACCGTAACTTGTACAAATCTTGATTGTTTGTCTCACAATCTTGCATCCAATACTACTCGTACAGCATTGTTGTTCCGATAGGGCGCCGGCATAATATCCTGAATTTCTTCCCGGAGAGCATGCTTCCAAATTACTCTTCCGGCTTACTTGTAGGAGATGAGAACTCGAATGCCTTGCCTCCTATCATACAAAGCACAGAAGTTGATCATTTTGTTTGCTTCTTTTCCAGGGGTGTTTCAGCACCAGCGCCACAATCCAAATAGCAGTGGCTGATCCAAGCTGGAGGACGACGAAATAGTATGGCGGCTAAAAGCTACTGTCCAGACATTTTTATCACTCAGTTGCAGCGGCTCAGCTGCCGGTAATAGTACTGTGGCAGGGTGATACCATTGGCTGGGACAAGCGACAAACCTTACTACAAGTAGTCTTACACTTCCCTAGAACCGGGTTTTCAACGTTGGAAATAAATTGCTCCCTTTGCCCCCACGAAAAAATGAAGAATAGGTTCACAGAGACTCCTGCTGCTAGAGCGTCAGGCCATTTCTTATCGTCGTGCCGTCTTTTCTTATCTCTTTCTCGGAAAGGTACTCAACTACCGCTGGAGTGGGCCCCTAAAGGGTGGTGGGGCCAGGTACGACCAGTGGCCAGAGCGATGTTTTCTGAAAACATACCGTGTTGTACCTAGTTTGGCTGGCAAAATGGGAAAATCGGTTCCCAACAGTTAAGTGGCTGTTTAGCACGAGAAGTTGATCGATTGAAAACGCGTTTTGCAAACAACGGTTTGCCAAACACCTCTAGAATCAATGTTTCCCAAAACGCATTTTGTAAAATTAATCTGCCAAGAACATGTAAATATATAGAATTTATAACTTGTAACCCTCTATTCTGTATATAATTATTTTATAAAATAGTTTTATATCCACTACAAACTCTTTACAAACATTTTTTTTTCTCACTTTTTGAAAATACTCAATATCTTCTCCTGACTCAACAAGTATCTCTCTTCTGATATATCAGAAACAATTCAAATTGGCACAATTGTGCTGCAGACCATCTTCACACTCACCACCTTATAAGCTGAAATATGCAAGAAGCAACTTTTGAAAACCCCTATACCATAGCATATCTCAATACTCAGCAGTCAAAGCTATACAACTAAATTACTGCAATCTAACAACAACCATCATATTTTAGTGTCCCTGCACATGCCAGTTGAGAATATTATTGGTCTTTCTAAATATATCTATATATATATATATAATGGAGATCTTAAATCTCAGTTGCTCAACATGCATTCAAAGTTAAAGTGAGTAACTGCTTAACAATATGAAAGGTTAGAGCATAGAGCTTATATAAAGTAGTGTCATACAAGTCATACAGAAAAGTTTGTTTTGCTAGTAAGTTAAATAAAATATTATATCTTATAGATTTTATACTTTCCTATATTATTCATTATAATATTATCATAATAAAATAAAGGTCTATTGATAATTTTAATAATTTTTAAAATATTCATAATTAGAAAATAAATAAATAAATAAAAAATGAGTCAGATCTTGTGAATTAGTTGGCAATACTCAATAATATTATTATAGAAAGAACAGATTTTTACTTTCTGGAACCATACAGAGGAGATAATTGGTAATGTTATTTGAGTAATATAGACTATTAGGACTTAAATTGAAATTTTGGAAATACAGGCAAGGGTAGATTCTATGCCTTCCTGTGTGCGAGTGGTTCTGACTGCACATGTCAGGCTTATGATACTTGTCTTTTATTTTTCTTTGCTCTTTCCATCACTCCTTGCTGACTTATTCTTATTTACCTCTCCAGTTACTCCCTTTTTACGTTGTTTTTATAAACTTTACACAGACGTCCACCCACCCTTCTTGTCCCAATATTTCGCCCCTATGATATATCCTGATATTTTGCGAATTGACGAGTAGATTCCTTGAGATTAGGGAGAATTATGATGTTTCGGAATAGCGTGCTTCTTGAACAAATGTTCTGTTTCTGGCGTTTTTAGCTATTTTGGGATTTATATCATTCCCGGTCTGACCTAAGCTATTCTCTTCATCAATTGCTTAGCTATCTTTCTTTCTTTCTCTCGCTTGGTGTGGCTCATCCATGGCTATCCTATCCTAGTCCTACCGCTGCGTCCCTCTCCACTTCCTGCACCTCCATAAGCACAAAAAGGCCTAATACACGACCGCGACCCCCACAACACCTCGTCCATCTACGCAAGATAATCACAGCGACGACAAAATTGTTGAACACCTACCGCATCCTCTCGTTAGACCTTAACACAGTGCTGCACGCACACCTTGAACACCTCCCGGCGCGTCCCGAGGGGTTTTGCGTCGTGATTGCGAGGAGTGGGTTGGATACAACCGGGGGACATGGTGGTATCATAGAACGTTAATCCTGGAAGGCTCGCTAGGGGTATTGACTCGATTATGAGGGCGTTTTTGGCCCTGACGGAAGAGGTCAGCGGGGTTTAGCGCGGTGATGGTGGTAGAAAGGGGTGTGAGGAAGGTTAGGAGGGATCGGGGCTGTCGATACTATGTGAAGGGGTTCTCATGTCGTGTCTGCGAGTGAAAGGTTGTGAGTTGTTGCTTTTGTATTCGGATGGAAGTGAATTTGGTATAATAGTATCATAGATGTTATTACCGGTGTTGTCGCTAAAATTGCCTCAGGTATAGCTTTTGGCCGCGAAGCAAGTAACATAGCTGCTGACATCAACAACTTGACAGACAAAGTTATACAAGCAACTGTCTAGAACACACCCTACCGAATTATGTGGTTCATGACAAAATAATTGCGTAATGTCCTATCATCTATGAGCATCACTCAAAATCTTTTGTACAAGGCCCTATCTATCATCTTACTGCTCTTCCTATGATACGATATAAACTATCATATATATGAGATGATAACTATGATAGGTTAGTGAGGTTAATGTTCCTACCAATGATAACGTGGCGAAAGAAATAATGGAAAGGGTGGCAGAAGAGGTCCTCATGGATAGTAAGTCAGCTATATATGATATGTTAAGTTTGGCAAAATTGGCTTCAATAATTGGAAATTGTTATCATATTTCCCTTCACTTCCACAATTTCAAACTTATACCTTTCATCACATGAGTCTGATCATGTGAAATTATCAGACAAGGATAAGAATAGGTAAAAATTTAATTACAAAACTACTGCATGGTAATTTTCTAGCACTTTTCACACTCCCACTTCACGACATTTGGATGCGTTCCTTGTCTATTAGCACATACTCGTCGCATCGTGGGCAGGGGGTATCCGAAGATACTGGTCGGAATTTATATTACCTGGGGATATTTTGCCATGTGTTTTCCAGATCCCTGTTTTCCAATAGTTTATTCTTGCCAGCTAGGAGCACACTTACAACTCCCACCATTACATATATTTCCTACCTACGAGTGGCCGTGAAGCTATTTGGGAGAGAATCATTGATTGTGGGTTTGCTGAATTTACTTCGATGGAGTAATCCCATTATAGTGTTGAGGTATATCAAGTTAAGGTAACATACATTGATGAGAATATAGCTAGGTTTGGTGTCCTAAAGGACTGGTTTATCGTCGTGTTTAAGTGGACATTGACCTGATATTGTGTAGACAATGCCTCTTGGCGTATGTCCACTTTGCCTGTACATAGCTGACCACTCCTCTCAGCTGGGTAGAACAAACACTTGCTCCTCCCGAACACGCTTCCTCCACACACTACTTTTCCGCGTGCACCCGATCGTCAGACATCTATCTCACTCAGGCGCTACCGCCTCGGCCACAGGGTGAGGCGGTGGTGAGTCCCTTGACCTTCCAGGGTTTTCCAGCAGTGGTATTAACCAAGCTACGGCTCTTCAAGGGAAAAATATCCTACTGCATTCCAATGCGATCGCAACTTCTAAATTGCTACCCTGCAACACGAGCTGTCCATCTGGCCCCCTGCAGACACAACTCAGGTTGGGCAAAGCCGGAAAGTGTCAATCTCCGATATTTTTGATCCTAAACCGCGGAGATTGTACTTTTGCAGAGGCGGCGAACCGTGGTAGACTGAACTCTTGCGATACCTTACGCATTTTGGTCCTATATGAGAAAAATTGCATGGGGTATAGTGAGGAGGAGGATTTGGTCATAGGAAAGGAGAATCGGCCATCAAGTCCTACCGGACCGTTCATTGATATTTTCCCTTCATTCCTCGCGCATTCTTGTTTAATGTTCTACCCATCATTTGTCACTCGATTTTCGATCCTTTTTTTTTAAAGTGGATTTATCCCGGATGTCTCGTTGTCCTTGATACCACACGGAGGGTTTTGGCCATCTGGGCAACGAGGTGCCGCTTTCGTTCAACTTGGTCAGAAAGTCTGATTTTCAGTCTTATTAGCTCTCAATGGACCCCGTCTTGGGTGTGCTGAAATATTCTCACAGAAGCGGGACAGAAGCGGAATGGGTTAGTATCACTTCACTTGGTTTAGGGCTCGATAAACACTCATTCCCAGAAAATAAATTAGCTGAACCCATTACAACCCCATACCACACAAGCCATACAAACCATACCGAATCTCCAAACACAAACCAAGATCCAAGGAAAAAAATGGTTCTCACACAAAGTTCAAACAATGAAGGCAAATAGACAAGACAAACAAGAAACAAAATTGAACAGTCCATAATACTACATTCCCCTAACTTTCGCCTGCCCAAAGCCTGAGCAGCCTAAATAATATCGTCAAACCTAACCTTCATACTCGTCGGGAAGGGCCAGTATGCGCTCCAGTCCTCCTTCATGTAAACCTTGAAGCCACCCGGCTTAGGAATATACTTGAGCGCTCCTTGTGGTCCGGGCGCTCTCCTCAACCCCTTGAGCTTACCAAATTGCATAAGCATGGTAGTGAGGCCAATGATATTCGCCGCCTTTCCAAGGCATTCGTGCGGGCCGTCGCCGTATTGCATGTAACTAGCCTCAGGTCGGTCAAGTTTGATTTCGAGCGGGTCGGGGAAGACCACGGGATCGCGGGAGGCGGTGATGAAATTTACGAATACCATGTCGCCCTTTCGGAGTTCGATGTTGCGTCCGTTGTCTTCGATCGTGATGTTATCCGGCTCGACGCGGCGGTAGAGGCCAAAAGTGCCGGCGAGACGGCCGCCTTCGAGAGCATACTTCTTGATAGTTTCCCAGGCGTCCACCGCGCCCGATTGCGCCAGTCGTTGGATCTCGGCGAGGTGATGAGAATTCCTGTCTTCTAGGTAGAAGTCCAGGACCTGGGCGAATATCTGGCCCTGGTTTGGTGCCGATGCCCCTGCTGTGGGAACAATGTACGACCAGGTCACGTCGTATGGAGATTTTCCGGTGTCGAGGAGACGCTTGATCATCGTCCAGCCATAAGATTTGAGCGGGGAGGACTTGTTGCGCCCGCGAATATTGAGTGGATCCCAGACCCCTTGGAGCCATGACCAGTTCTTGATGGCTTTGACCTGGGCTTCCACGAGAGTGCCGTATTGGCGGACTACCTTGAATCCCGCCTGGCGTAGCGGGAATGACTTGCTGGAGTCAATGTCAAAGAAGATGACTATGAACATGACGCACAGGATCATGTAGAGCTCTTGTTCCGTGTAGATTCCCTTTGGGTGATCCTCGCTCTTCATCGGTAGATTAAAGATTGACGCTGCAAAGATTGTCTGGGCGATATTTCCGATGCTAACGAAAATGTTAGGCAATTTTTCCCCTTCTATCGTCTAGAAAGGAACTTACTCTCTAACTGCATCGACTTGGTAAGTATCACCGAGGCTGTATGCCTTCTTCCGGATCAACTTCTCCGTAGCCTCCTCGTAGAATTGCCTAATCTGTTGCTTCCAATCTACACCCCCAAGGTACAACCGGTCGCGGACAAACTGTTTCTGTTCGGAATTGGACGGCTTATCACCGCTCAACATGAAATCCGCCCTCATGATAAAGTCGAACCCAGCACCCCAGGTGACCTTGAAGTTTTCAGCATCGCACAGAATCTGTTTCGTGGCGTTGTAGGATGAGATGGGAATGCGGGGAGGAGTGTAGACCGGTCTCTCGAAATCGAATTGATCAACCGAGTTTAGAGCAGTGTGGATCTTGTGGTTCTCTTGCGGGATGGTGAGTGGGTAGTGTGCGTAGATGGAGTTGAACTTGAAGTGGTTCGGGAAAGCCTTGAGAATCAGCTTATATCCCACGCATCCATAGACGGTAGCCAGATCAGAAGATGCCTCCTGAAGACCCCAGTTGGTCAAGTGGGAGGCAGTGTAATCGGCAGTGTAGAACCTGTCACCGCGAACTAGAGTAACAGCGTCACTGAGAATGGCACGGGAGATGGTGTATGTGGGTCCGATACCGACACCCGGAACCATCGGCTTCTTGTCGGCTTCGGCCACGAGACCAGCATACATCTCAACGAAGTCCGGGTGATCGTAAAGCTGCCTGAGTGTGTTGGCCACGGCCGGGTCGGGATTGATATCCTCGAAGGTTGCGTGTGGTTTAAGTCCGAAGAACTCGCGGAGTTCGTTCAAGGAGCCGACCATCCACTTGCGGGATTGCTCAATACCCAATACCTCAACAAGGCGGAGGACATGGGGAACATTGCGCGCACCAAAGGCACCTGCAACATCTTCGACGCTCTCTGTGAGGATCTTCACTAGGTCGTCGTCATGATAACTGCCGTCGGCTTTGCGCTCTAAACCGGCGATGTTCCGCTGGATGGGGTCGTCGCTGAGGCTCCTCTCCCACCTACCGACACCTCTAGTGAACTCGGGCATTTCAATGTCACTGGCATCCCTCCCGGGGAACAGACCCTGGTAGAAATCCTTTGTCCATTGATCGTCACGCTTGGAAATGCAAGAGTGCCATCTGTAGATCAAGTTGAACTCGGCAGAGACCATGTTACCAATACCAGCAGGAGTTCCATCGGGATTGTAAACCTTGCTAGCCTCAAATCGCGGATCAAGTGTCCAGGTGGTGTCTACTCGGTTCAAGTTGACAATAGTCCTCAGGTAGTCGTTGAGGATAAAGTTGATGTATAGACCACAGGTGACCCTTCAGACTGTTAGCATACGGCTCATGCGGTATAGGATAGAAAGGCATACAATCTACCAGTCTGGAACAAGTCTTCGTCCTGCTGCCTCAGGGCCTTTGCCTGCCTGGTAACCTCATCATCCCCATTAGGGTATCTGGGGAACTTTAGGTTAAATCGTCCACCCTCATTAATGGCCTTGAGACTGCATCCGGTTAGTATATGAATATCATTGATAACGCAAGGAGGGAAAATTCACTTCTCAACAACGTAGTTATGGAACCGCCCAAACATGATGAGCAATACCGAAACACCCGGGGGGAAAGCCAGCAACCTCTTTTCACTGTAACTGTCCGGCTTGATCTTTCCGTCCTGGAATGTCCTGATCTTGGACTGGTCCTCTACACTGCTTCCATAGAGCGGCGCCAGGTCCAGGTATGATGATGTATCCGAGATATTTTGATTCTCCCGGTTGGTTCGGAACAAGTCTATTCCATCCATCAGTTATGATCAAACCCCCCACGCCCCGACCGAGTGACGTACCATGAATAATAATAGTCGCGGTATAAAACAACATACTACTGACGTTGTTATCGTGTTCACGGAAGTGCTCATCGTTAGGTCCTCGAGAGAAGATCCTGTCGAAAAGCGTGTATGCATCTGGTGGTGCTCCGGGCATCTTTGTCATTGGCTTCACAGATCTCGCATATGCGGAGCCCGCACGACCCAGTTGAGGGTACATTATGTTGTTGTATCCACCATCTGCCTGGCGATAAGAGAACTCATCACCGAGATAAGATAACGGAGGGTGTTGGAGCGAGTCCCAAAGTTGATCTACCTGGAGTGTGGTCAAGGCAACGCGAGCTTTGCTTGTTGGCGGGAGTCGTGAAGTAAGTTGTATGACACGTTCCATCTACACACAGACTAGTTAGCTTGTAGTCCTAGTGAGGTACCCACAGGTATTGATCCTTCATAATGGGCTCAAGAGAGGTCACACACAATCATAGTCTTGTCGTCTACCGCTCCACCCTTTGCCTTCTGCTTGAGGAAATCCCATAGCGTTCCCACACTCTCCCAAAAGAACCCCCCACGTCTCAATGTGTTAATGTCGGTCAATACTCCAGTTGGTTTAAGCTCTGGGGGCCTCTGATCCTTTCCGTCCCCGAATCTGTTTGGTAGGGGGCGGTTAGAAGCATGTAATAAGTTTGAGAATTGTTCAAAGGTACTATCCACTGCCGCTCTCGTAGGTTTTGCGACGGGCGGAGGGGGCTTTGACTGTGTAGCGTATTTGCTATCACCGTTCGTGGCACCATTGGTGCCATCACCATTAGAGGCCATTGTACCCTGACGAAGAGTAGACAAAAAAGTGGGTTTGAAAAGGATGCCAAGGGCCAGAGGAGCTCTTTGCAAAGGCGAGGGAAATGGCGGAATATGGAAATGTAGAGGAGGTATTGGTGGAATAGGACTCACTCCTCCCTTTATACCTCATGCGGCTTCTCCGATCAACGCTATGGAGTCCCTCACCACCTCGGTTCACAAAACTGCTCACTAGCTTTCCACCTACCGGTATCGGTATTAGATGATCGCCCACCCCTTCCCCCCGAGAACCAGAGGTTCGATCTCGTGTGATGTCCACCCCCAATTGGTGACTCGAACTGGAACATGTTGTTCATATGGCCCACTCTGTGACTTGGCGAGTCACGGATAGCGAGATTGCCGGTCACCATCCCACGGGACACGTCCTTGTACGAGTACAGTACCGTACATCGGAGAAGTCTTCAAGGAGCCAGGATAGGTAAACAGCCGTGCAACATGAGGAAAGAGGAGGAGTGCGTATCAGAGAAAAGACAAGGGTCTTTAGCGATTATGGGCTAGAGTGTGGGGAGAAGGGTCTAGTTTGAGGACACTCATAAGGCAGTGGTACAGTACCCGAGCACGGTGGTCAAGTATTGTAATCTACGAGAGATCGTGCAAGTATTGCTTTTGCATCCTTGAAGCAAGGCATCGATGGTTTGCGCGCTACATGCCCCTAATCTAATTAGAGCAAAGTATCCACTAGGACAAAACCATTCTTACTATCATACACAGCAGCTACTGGGCAAGGTTCAACAACAACTCCCAGGTCCGGACATAAGTTATGTAACAGTTATTCGAGGTTAATAAACCGATTATATCCCTAGCTGATCCGGTTAATAGTTTTCCGCCCACTGTAGCTGGAAACCTCTACCCACCGGAACCTTGAAAGCCCCCCCGCGCGCGCGCACTGCAGGCTGCAGCATCATGCGTAGAAATTGCCTTATCCCTACGTCAGTGCCCGGGCTCCATACTCGAACACTCGAGTACCGGGTGCGGGTGGCTCCCCTTGCTGAGGATAGCGCATAAATGTGGGCTAGGCTCGGGGGAGAACCAGAAATTAGATCCGAGGGCCCAACCTTCTCAGTCACTTGGTACTGTACCAGGGGTTGTGGGTAGACTAAGTCTGTCGAACCTCACGTTACATATTGGCTCCCGCCTTCTTGCCCATTCAGCGAGCTGTATCTGCTCCGGGTAGTGCGCCAAGAGTTCGACGGACTTTTTTCCCTCATCAAATTGCGAGGAAATCAGTCAGTTGTATGCTCGGGCAGCATCTCCTCTCCATACAAAATGGGCCTATGAAAGTCAAGCTCGACAGAATTTTTGCGCACACCCTAAGCACAGTAGACTACTCGAGTAGAGTGCCAAGAGAAATAGCCCTGTCCATGGACCCCCCACCACGAGGTTCCATAACAAGGAATTTAATCCAATTTTTCCTGGACCAAAATAGGCCATCTTTTAGCCACAATCTACCAGTGAACCAGAAAGCCTCGCAAGAGCTGGTCGGAGAAATAAAGGTTGCAGAAGGGGAAAGTGGGGTTGAGGAGCCACCAGTGCTTGTATGATACTCGTACTGGTACTGTACCGTATAGGCGGAAACTTTTGGTCAAGTGCCTTTTGTATCCCACACCCTTCATCTACGACACAGTAGCCCAGGACAAAACAAGCGATCTATCCAAGTGCTCGTAGTCCGATACCCCAATGTAGAAGGAGATGGTCACTCCAGTGACGCTCATAGGTAGTCCGGTATTGCTGAGTTGTTAGTCCCTGAAGATAGTCTAACTTAGTATGCTTTACGGTAGTGTACGAGTAGAGCAACGAATTGCCAGAGCTTCCCGCCACTTTCCATCAACTCCGGGGCAAGGGACGCACCGCCGGAGAAAACCAGGCACCCTTGCGTCCTAATAAATTTTAATTTGGACGGGGTGGCCATCAAGTAATTACTCATCGTCTCGCCTGCCGAGAAGCGCAGGGGATATTTTACCAACCTCAGCTGAAGTTGGAACAAAGATCTTCTATCGTAGACTACTCGAGTACAGTACTTGTACAACATGAGGTAACTTTTACAAGTGGTTGGTCGAGGGATGTTTCTTGGATGCTCAATTGATTGGTCAAGCGTAATTGATCCCAGCAAGAATTACTGCACAGCGGCCAAGGGCGCGGCTCGCAGCAGCAGACGATCGAGTAATATACCGGTATGCTGCTAGTATGGTACCGGGAGTCGACCCGAGCCAAGAGGAAAAGCGGAGATCACAGAGACCCATCTGAGGCCGGCCGATATAGTCTACTTGTAGTAGAGTTTCGCAAGGTAAAATTTAGGTGATACGCATTGGATGAACAGCTCAATCTAAATCATTGCTTCTTGCCCCATGACCCATCTGTTACCCCCCCAAATGATCTACGAGTACACTAGCCGCTTATTAACCAACGAATTGGGAGGATACTCATGTTACCCTAACTTGGATGGGTTTTTATCTGGAAGGGTATGGATAGCCACAACATTCACATGATAAGGTGTTTCCATTTCATAATGTCATCCAATTGATAGACGATCGGTTGGTCGGGAAAGGTACTCGGAGAGAGGCTACCGGGGATGGTGCAATGCCGGTACAGCGCTACTTGTAGATACGATACAGTATGGTGCGGACACCTCAGAACCACCTTGAGTCCCAACGCGATGATACCGGTATGCACCAGAGCTGCCAAATCGAGTCACAGCCCAAGCTAACTGTATTCAATAATATCTTGGCACCACTACACCTAATTAGGTAATAAATTTGACCATCTGGGATAATACGAAAACAATCTAACCCAAATAAGAAGGATACTGTCTGCTTAATATCCCAGCGTGAATTAACACGTGTTTATTTCCAGTATCCATCGTCAAACAGGTACTGTGTTATCCAAATACAGTGGCGCACAATACTAGTACTGTATGGGTACTCGTACAATACCGGTACACGTGCCAGTACCCGAGTACTCGTACAAGTAGACTGCTCAAGTAGGATCATCGGTGTAACTCGGTCTGGAATCGCAAATGGGCATTTGCGGTAAGTTAGTGAACTAAGGCGGGGAGCGAACGATAGGCGAGGAACTCTGAGACACCCCTCGGGAGGGGAAGGCGCTCTGTGAGTTCACATTGGGGCGTTGCGGTACCGTATTCGTTTGTCTTTGTCCTCCAACCTAAGTTAATCGACTGGTACAAGTACAGTACCATACATGCACCATACTAAGTGTTCCGGGTTCGCCATGGGCACAGTATGCCAATCCTCCCTCGTCCTACCCGGGTACTATACTACAAGTAGTATGGTGCCGGAGCCCTAGAACCTACCCCCACCACACCCTAGCGGATGCCGGACAGGTTAAATTAGGATAAATATATGATATGCACAACATCCAGCTTGACCGATATTTCAACTTGCAATAACGACACCCACAAAATTTAATAGAGGTTTGAAAATCTCTCCTGAACGGCTTCCCTAATTTGTTAATTTATTGGAACGTGTTTGCGGAGCTGTTTTCTTTTTAGTCTTCTGGTTGGTGCTGCAGAGGCCTTCAGAGTTTTTAGACCATGGAAAGGAGGACGGTGAGAGCGGTACAGTATGAGAAAAAAAAGGGTTTTGCTTCACGATTAGCCAAGTGTCCCCCCGATTAGGTATAGTTTGCTACAGTGTTAATACTAGCGTCTTTTTATTACCAGAATAACAAAAACTTTGGATCGCCCTAGATTCTTCCCTTAATTCTCTACTCGTAGGCAGTCAGAATTTACGGAGGCTTTGAGCTTAGGCTGCGGTTGTCGAGCTAGGGCAAATTGAGACACTTGAAGCCTCTCCCGATCCGAGATCTCATCCTTGTAGAGCAGATCCTTACCCCGGCTGCTCGGGAAACCTAGCTAGGATGGTTAGCTAAAAGTTTCCCCTGCAAACTGAGCAATAGGTGATATCTAGAACACGAACAAGGATTTCACCTTCGCCGACCCTGCCACTGAGCGTGTTTATTTTCTTTTTTCCCCCTTCACCACATTTTAAACATGTCACGAAAACTCGTATTAGCGAGTAGCCAATCTATCGAGGAGAGAGAGAACTTCAGCGCGCACAGCCTTTGATTCGGTGCTCGCAAGTGAAACACGCGCACTAATCGTTGATCAGCTCCACTCCCGCCTACGGTACTCTATCACAATTTTGGCGTGCAGAGCTGTGAACTCACCACTGTGACTCGGGCAAACGTAACTCACTTCCTACCCACCTGCCCATCCTCCAACGAGATCCCGGGGCCCATGTTACAATCACCCCATCTCACTGGGATTTTTGTTCCGACCTTTGTTGGGTATATTACTTCAATGTGAGGGAAGTACGAGTATATTGAGCATGGGGTATTGGGACCCATTATTTTGTGATATCACTGTATATGGACACCTCTCGTGGGTATAAGTACAGCGGTCTTGGGTACAGAGGGCGACACAAACACACAAGAAACTCATCCTTTCTACTGTCAACTTTTATACCTTCTCGTACGCTCTCATTTCCCACAAGTCCTTAGTTCTCTTCGCTTCCTCAGCTTTCACATTTGGCCTACGATGCAACAGCCTCACCTGCCATGGGTCTACTGTTGCACTCACCAAGATAAACACCAAAAAATCCTACTTTCCAAGAACAATAAGGTGGAAAAGAAGTCACCAGACCTTCATCAGAGGGGTCATTCCAAGGTCTTCGCAAAAGTTCCGCCCGATCGGGTTCTTACGGTGCTGCGCAGTGCCACAAGCTACACTCAACCGGACAATATTCCTTTCGTCATTTTGCTAAACTTGGCTCGTTGGAAAAAAGCGGTAGGGTGGTCTACTAGGGTAGTGATGAACTCGAAAATTTGATTGAGCCCGACCGGGGCATTCCCCATGACTCGGAGCGACCCCATTTTGGAGTCTGCCTAATTTCGTTAACTGCCGTTTCCAAGTTATTCGCTGCCGACAGTCAGATGTTATACTTGCG